TTTTTTGTGGAACCAGGGATTGAACTCAGGCCCTTATGCTTGCCAGGGAAGTGCTTATTCCACTGAGCCATCTCCCTGGCCTCCATTTCTTGATTGATGGGTATTTGGGCTGTTTCCTGAATTTAGCTATGACAAATTGTGCTGCTATAAAAATGGGTGCAAGTATGGTACACTGTGGTATGATTTTTTAATTCTTCTGGGAACAACCAATAGGTCATGGATGAAATTTTTAAAAAATTAAACAATATCTACAATCAAATAAAAATGCAGCTACAGCATCTGGAATCTCTGGGGTACAGTGGAAGCAGGCGTAAGAGGGAAATTTATAGTGGCAAATTCTTACATCAGGAAAGCAGAATGAACACAACCTAATGTTGCACATCAAGCTTCTAGACTAACAAGAGCAAGTCAATGTAGTTTTCCTTTCAGTTTTTCTCACAGGATTTTTTTTAACAGAAGGAACGTTTTAAATGTTGATGAAATCCAATGTATTATTATTTTTTTTCTTTTAAGGACCATGGTTTTGGTGTTGTAGCTAAGAACACTATACCAAGCATTAAGACTTTATGATTATCTCTTATATTTTGTTTTAAAGGATGTACATTTTTATATTTAATTCATTTAACCTATGATGCATTTTGAGTTAACTTGTTTAAAGAGTATGTTTAGATTGAGTTCTTTTTCTTTCTTCATGGTGGATGTCCAGACATTCTGGTACCATTTGTGGAAAAGACCATGATTCTTTAGCAGGCAGTTGTCTGCACTTGTGGAATTTATTTCTGGGTTCTCCATTCTGCATTGGTCTGTGTGTCTCCTGAGTTTGGAGGTTCCCCAAGACCCTCCTTATCCCCACACCAAGTGTAAGGGGTCACAGGCCCACCCTTAGATTTGTTAACTTGGGTACTTGGGAAAGTTACTATAATCATTTATTTATTTATTCAGAAAAAAAAATGACAAAGATTAAAGTCAGCAGCTAAAAGAAACAGTAGGGCAAGGTCTAGAAGATGATGGGGTGTGGAGCTTCTCTGTGGGCCTTCCCTAAAGCAACCATCCAGGGAGAGCCTATGTCCCACAACAACAGTGTGGTAATGTATATAGTACTGCCAATTGGGAAGCATATCTAGGCTTTGGTGTCCAGAGTTGTAATTGGGGTTTGGTTACATAACTATGGTTGACCACCTGCATGACTGACTTTGGTTTCTAATTTCAGTAGGGGCCAATCTGATATGAAATGGCCCAAAGCATCACACAATCAATCATATTGTTAGCATAGGCTTTTAAGCATGTCCCAAGGGCCCGAGGTACACAAAGATACTCATTAGGTAGGACATTCTAGGGCTCACAGGTTACCTTCCAGTAGCTGGGGATCAAGATAGATCTTCCTCTTATTGTACAGAAGCCTATCTCTCCCTCTAAATCTACTAGTGTTTGTCTGATAAAGTTGGGTGTTCTGACATTAAATGCATGTAGACTTACAACCATTATGTGTTATGCTGACCTGACCCTTTGATATATAATGATCTTTGCTTCTTATATTTTTGTAGTAGAGTCCCTTTTGTCAGGTATAAATATGCCTACTCCATGTGTCTTTACTGGTAAGGTGAATTTCTTATTAATAGCATACAACTGGGTCATTTTTGAAAATCTATTAAAATAGTCTATGTCTTTTCATTGGAGAATAAAGATTATTTACAATCAAAGTTATTATTGAAAGTTATGAACTTTTATTGTAATTTTCTTTATTTTTTCTAGTTGTTTTGCATATTATTTGCTTTTCTATTCCTCTCTTGTTCATTTATATGGTTTTATGACTTACTGGTAGAAATGCAGTTGCAAGAAATTCAAGCCAGAATTCATGGTTTGGAGAGTTATGACAATGTTCCAGAAGGGGATGTGACTGTATTTGAATAAGTATAGATTGTTGTACATGAAAAAATAATGTATCCCCTGAAAGTGAGCTTTATTGCATCTTTTGGACTAAAAGATAGAGCCTGTCTTCTTTTCAGGGAAATGTGGTATAAGAAAAGATACTCTACCAGAAGTCATAAGCTACTGGAGTGCCACAGGTTATATGTTTATACACCATTCTGCTATTATTGAGCATATACAAGGTGCTTCCTGTGGACCAAGTTAAAGAAATTGACCCTATCTAGGCTCAGGTGAGACTTACTTTTGGGGTTCCCTTCCATCCAAACCTATAATTCTGCAGGATTATACCTCATCTCAGTTTCTCCTAATAATTTCTAGAATAGGACACTACTATGTCATCTGCATTCAGTGATGCAACTTGATGGTCTGGTGACCTTGGCAGCAAGGCCTTCTACTCTTTCTGGTTCAACACCCATGAGAGCCCAGTATAAGAGACCACAAGGAGGCCAAGATGTTCAGTGTTTAGGATTCCTCAAGACAGAGAGCTTCCTCTCTTACAGAAGCCATGCGTTTCCTGATGCTGACCTTGATTTTCTGTGGGTTGTTATCTCAGCTGGCCCAAGGTAATGGAACTATATAAAGCAGGGATGATGGAACTAGGTTAACTCATAGCACCAGATTCCCCAGTGTCTTGAAGGGAAAAATAGTCACACAGGAAGTCTTAGACCAATAAGTAGCAGTAGATAGGGTCTTATTTTGGAATCCCTATACTCTACGCTCTGAGAATCCTTCTGGTAGGAGCATCTAGCAATCTGGAATGTCCTTTGAGACATTTCTCCAAAAGGCAAGCATCTTCTCAATGCTCTGTCTTATCTAGTGTTAACTTGGCCTTGCTTCTCTTCTATTTTAGTTAGGTCATTGTTGAGTTCTATTAGGTCAGTTCTTCCTACCATTTTGAATTAATTTTGTACCTTCAAAGTAGGCTTTCATTTTCATGTTCTTACATACAATAGACATGTCTATCAATGTTGCATATTCTTCTGGTCTGTCATGTGGAAGAGATAACATTTAAGCCTGGAATGGGAAAATGTGTGAACGTGACAAAGTAGAAAGCCAGGTGACCAATGAGGACCTTCCAATTTTAGGTCCATATGACTTTGGAAAAAGTTTTGCATTTCCATGAGGTGGCTGTAGGCATGCTTATGTTCTTACATCTTATTCATATGTTGAAATGATACATGAGATGGAGAATTATTATCTAGCTTTGCTTCTTTTTTGTTTGGTTGGTTTTTGTCTTTTTGAGACAGGGTTTTGTTATGCAGTTCAAGCTGGTCTTGAGCTCACTTTGTAGCCCAAGCTGGTCTTGAATTTTCAATGATCCTCCTCCCTCAGCCCCCCAAGTGCTGGGATTGCAGGCATGAACCACTGCATATATTTGTTTCTGATTATGAACTATTTGCTATAATTTTGGAATTTTTCTATTGTAACCAAGTAAAAATAAAGACTTGTTCCATTACTCTCCCTCAGTTTTCTTCTTTATCATTTGAATAAAAAAAATCTATGGCCTACTTATAAATTTCCTTCCATGTTGTTAGTATTTTTCCATTTACCAAAAGTTTGGGGGTTTTTTGTTTTGTTTTGATTTTGTTTTTTTGGCAGAACCGGGGATTGAACTTAGGCCCTTGTGCTTGCCAGGCAAGTGCTTATTCTACTGAGCCACCTCCCCAGCCCTTACCAAAAGTTTTTTAAGCTGTATTTTAATTATTGTATAGAATTGTATTTTGATTATTGTGTAAATTTTGCTAAATCTTATGTGTACAATTTTTCTAAATGTATACTGCACATGTTATTTATTAAATAATGATTAAAGTATTTTGCATAAATAAATAAAAGTATGTTTTAAATACAAGGCTAAGCTAATATGACTTTTCATTTTGTATTAGCATATGTTTGTTTTTTTGTTGTTGTTGTTGTTTGTTTTTTGTATTTTAGGGAAGGATCTACAGGGTGTTCAGGGTCTCACTAATAGATAAGATTCATAGTGATCCCCCTGTTTACAGCCCCCCAAGAGCTGGGATAGCAGGTGCGGGCCACCATGCCCAGTCTCAATTGCTGTCTAAGCAGGGCCGGCATGGCAGGCCCATAATGTATGTTTGTGATACAGAAGAGTGAAGTTAATTTGGGGAATCAGTAAGTGATTATAACACTTTAATCTCTTTACCTCCTTCTCCCTCCCCTTCCCATTTATTCTGATTCAATCTACCTTTATTTTCCTATCATTTGGCCTATATTTTATTTATTTACTTATTTTAAGGTTCTTATATAAGAGAAGATGTAAGATACTTAGTGTTCTGAGTTTGGCTTATATCTCTTAATATGCTGGCCTCAAGTTCTATCCATTTTCCTGACATATTTCATTCTTCTTTGTGGCCGAATAATATTCCACTGGGTGCGTATACCACATTTTCTTTAATCATTCTTTTTTGACAGACATAAAGGCAGTTTCCAAAGCTTGGCTGATTTGAATTGTGCTGCTGCAGATATGGACATACATATGTCATTATAGTACGATATATTTAATTCTTTCAGGAATATCCCCACGAGAGGTATTGCTGGGTCAAATGGAATTTCTATTTTATATACATTTTTTAAGGAATCTTCATACTGATTTCTATAGTGGTTGTGCTAGTTCACATTCCCACAACATTGGGGGGACCCTTTCTCCCCCTCCATCCTCACCAACATTCACTGGTTTTTGTGTTCTTAATTCAAACCATTCTGTAATACAACGATCATTGTTAAATTTTTATTCTTCTTTTGAAATTCCGTACCATTTGTACTTTTGCTTGTTACTCTGTGTCTTTGTTTCTACTATTAGTTTTTACTCTTTAATAATGAAATTAAAAAATGAATGCCAATAAAAAATAAGGCCATTCTGATAAAGGGATAGGTAAGAGAGGATATCAAAGTTGTTTTGATTTAAATTTCTCTAATGGCTACAGGTGTTGAACATTTTTTCATGTACTAATTGGCCATTTGTATTTCTTCCTTTGGGGAATATCTCACAGTTAATTTGTCCATTGTTTTGATGTCATTTGTTTCAGGGAGGAGGGTAATTTTTGTGTTCTTTATATTAGTCCTATATTTGAAGATTAGTTAGAGAAAATGTCTTCCATTCTACATGTTGTCTTTTTGCTGTACTGATTGCGTTTGGAAAAGTTTCTGATGTGCAGAAGCTTTTTAATTTGATGATATCCCATTAGTTGATTCCTGATATTATTTTCTGTACTATTTGATTCTTTTCAAAGTCTTTACCTGTGGCTTCAGGAATTTTCCCATGCTACCTTCCACTGATTTAAAAGTTTCTGTTTTTACAAATAGGTCTTTAATCTATTTTAATTTGATTTTACTACAACACTAGCAATAGAAATCTGTTTCAATCATTTGCAAATGTATATTCAGTTTTCTTAGCACCACTTGTTAAAGAGGCTGTCTTTTTACAATCTATGTTTTTGACCATTTGTCAAAAATTAAATGACTATAGGTGCCTGAGGTTGCTTACGTATCTTGTCTCCTGTTCTGCTGGTCTGCATTTCTCTTTTTGTGCCAGTGTTAGGCAGTGCTACTATAGCTTTGCAATATGAACTAAAATCCAGTAACGTGGTGTTTCCAGTTTTGCTCTTTTTGCTTACAATTTTTTTTTACTATTCTGGGCCTTTTCTGAGTCCACATGAATTTTTAGGATTATTTTTTCTAGGTCTGTGAAGAATGTTGTTCTTATTTTACCAGGGATTTCATTAAGCCTATAGATTACTTTTGGTGGAGTGATCATTTTAACAGTATTAACTCTGCCAGTCCAAAAAAAAGGGATACTGTTCCACTTTTTAACTGCTTTCTTCAGTGGTATCTGATACAACTTTCCTTACATCCTTTGGCATTTTCCGTTTGTGTGCATACCAGCCTGGCCCACAAATGTCAGTACCCCAGCTGCCTTGCCAGGTGCTTGTGAAATGCTCCGTATGGGTCATCACTAAAATGCCAGGAAGCTAGCAGCTGGCTCTGGGTGACGTGTTAATTCTGGGCTGGCAGGATGGTGGGAAAGTGGCCCAGTCTCAGTAAACCCCATGTGAGACACCTGGGCTTGCTTGGCAGCCTGGCTGCCAGAGTTCTCCCTGGGACTGTGCTCTGGTCAACTAGAGTGGCCACTGGCTTTATGACTCATGTTTTCCCAACTCCTTATTTGCCCACTAAATTGTTTTGTGAGGTGAGAATTGCTTTTCATTTGAACTATTACACACAAATCATCTACGGTCACATTTTCCTGTCCCGATGTGTTTGTTTTATGGACCGAGGATTGAACCCAGGACCTTTGAACTGAGCAACAGCTTCAGTCCTTTTTTATTTTCTTATTTTAAGACAAGGTCTCACTAAGTTATACCCAACCTGGGCTCAAATTTGCAATTTTCCTGCCTCAACTTCCCAGAGAGTTAAGATTACAGATATACGGGTATGGGCTACTGTCCTGTCCTGTTTTGTTTTGTTGTTTTTTTTCTGAATTCTTTTCTTCTTATATAATCTCCATTTTTTTTAAATGTATTTAGTACAGAGTCTACAGGGTCTCACTACACAGACCAGACTTGTAGTGATCCTACCTGTTTTTCAGCCTCCCAAGTGCTGGTATTACAGGGGCACACCAACACACCCAGTCTCAATCACCTTCTCAGTGAGCCCTGGGGGAGGGACCGGCGCAGCAGGCAGGGGATTGAACCTCCAACCCCTGCATCTGTCTAGGCATGCACTTTAATATGCTGAGCTATCTGGCTGGTCCTTGCTTTTTTGTTTTTATGATCCCTTGATATTGAAGCTGATCAGAATTTAATTCTACCTTTCTGTATTTTTTTCATATTATTCCCATGGCTTACCTATAAGTAGTGGTTCCAAAGCATATCTATAATCAGAACCTCTCTTGTTGACCTTCTTTGTCTCTTAAACATACAAGCAGTTTCCTCAGTGCTGACAGGGCCTCTCTGCTGCCTTCCTGAAGCAATCCTTCCCTCAGACTACCTTGCTGGCTTGTTTTCAACCTTGTTTAGGTTTAAATATCAGCTTTAAGACCCTCTTCTTCCCTCCCCTTCCCTCTCTCCCCTCTCTTCTCCTCTCTTCCCCTCTTTATGTCACCATTTTTAATATACACCTATGTTTTCCAGGTTGTCTCTTTCAGTCATTTTTAGTATGGTCATCGTGTTAATCTAGATGTCACAGGTAACAGCTGCACATTTCTGAATGAATAAAAAGTTATGTTGATGTTGAGGTTAAAATTTTGACCTAATTTTTATTTCCTGCAGCTGCCTGGAATGTACCAAAATGCTGGAATGATGTGGGCCACTGCAGAAGACGATGTTTAGATACTGAAAGGTATAAACTTCTTTGTAAGAACAAGGTTTCATGCTGCATTCCCATACGAAAGTCATATGACAACACTCCAAAGCCAGTGGTTCCCTCGGTCCTCAACATACAGGATATAGCAAATGATATAGGTAGTTGGAATCCTGTTTCACCAGGATTGAATGATGAGGTAACATTTAGTGACACTGAGTTTGAAGAAACCACAACAACAATAACTGAGAGTTTTACTTCTGAAACAGTTTCTTAAAAGTCCATGGTGCCACCTGTTGAGATGACACTATCTGGCAACAAAAATGCTGCTGAAAGGACTTTCTGGGAAGCTCACTCTGCCAATCAAATTTCACTGGAATGATTTCATCAGACACTGGATGGACACTGTCACTAGGCCAAATGCATCCGTCAAAACAATAACAATTAGAAATGAGTAGATGTGAGAAATCTCTTTACTGGACTTAAACTGTTTTATCTAGATTCTGATTTATTAAAATGTATGAGCTAAAGAAGGAAAGCCATGCTGTTATGTTGAGCTGTAAGGGGACTCAAGTCAACAATTTCTGACATTGCCAGTCAAGTGGAAGACCCAATATTATTATGGGCTACTGGACTCTTTTAGAATATTTTGCTGAGTTTACACACCTATAATATTCAAATAACAGAACTTAAGAAAAAAAAGGGTATACAGATGAATGTTCATTTTGTATCTGTGTATTCAAAGTAGTTAGGATAGATATATAGTTACATTCTCTTAATGAATAGAGTGATTTGTTCTAATGGTGTTTGTAAATAGGATATCATGTCCGCATCTTGTACAGCAATTAACCACTAGGAAGAATGTATGCAATGTGTTAATTATTGAAACTGTCCAACCAATTTGATTTGAAACTGTCTCATTGCTATTTGTTTATCAATAAAATTATGGGAAAAAATGTATGAGCTAATCTTGGTCTAAGTAAACTCATGTGTGTCTGTGCTTTTACTATTATTTTAACTATACATATTTATAGTTTATAGTCTAATAATTCCATATAATAGTGATCGGATTAAGGTACTTAACATGTCCATCTCTTCAAATGCTTTAAAATATTTTATAGACATGCAATAATTATACATATTATGAGATACAGTATAATATTCCAATACATGTGTAAAATATCTACTTATTAATCAGGGTAATTATTGCTTCAGATCTTCATTGTTGGTTTGTATTTAGAGACTTTGAGTTCTCCTCTTTTAGTTATTCATAAAATACACAAAAACTACTATAAATTACAGTCACCTAATTGTGCTACCAAACACCAGAAATTATTACTTCTATATAACTGTGTTTGGGTACTTAAGCAACTCACATTCAACTTCCTAATCCCTCGTCTTTCCTAGCCTCTAGCCCTCACCATTCACTCAGATACACTTTAAAAAAAAAAATTAAGCTGTACTCTTCTATGTTTTACTGTTATTTTTTTTTTTTTTTTTTTTGGCAGAACCGGGGATTGAACTCAGATCTTTGCATTTGCCAGTCAAGCGCTTATCCTACTGAGCCATCTCCCCAGCCCCTGTTTTACTGTTAGTATGTTTGCAATATACAATAACTACATTCATCTTGGGCAATTGGGATGCATAAGTACAGCTTTACTGCTCCTCCTCTATCTCCACCTTCCTCTCTCTCCTTTATCCAGAACCCCTTCTGATCTCTACAAACTCTGCTCCCCATTTTTTATCTTATGTCTTGTATTTTATTCTTTTTTTTTTTTTTTTTCAGAACCGGGGATTGAACTCAGGCCTTTGCGCTTTCCAAGGAAGTGCTTATTCTACTGAGCCATCTCCCCAGCACCTATTTTATTCTCGAAATTGTTTATATTTGGGGGTTTTCACATAAGAGAAACCATGTGATATTTTGTCTGTCTGATTTATTTCACTTGGCATCATGGTTTCAAGGTGCACCCATTTTTTACAAGTTACTCAAAATTATCCTTCTTTATGCCTGAGTAGTACTCCATTGTATATGCATATCATATTTTCTTTACCCATTAATCTCTTTATAGGCACATAGTAGGTTACTTCCATGATTTAGCCATTGTGAATTATGATGTGATAAACATCAGATCTCATTTTTTACAATACCATAGTTTTCATTACGCTTCTCTTTCTTTGTTAGGTTAATTTTTAAGTAAATTTTTTGGAGTTATTATGAATGGGATTATTTCCCTGCTTCTTCCCCTTTGGTAGGTTACTGTTGTAGAGAAACACTGTTGATATTTTGTGTGTGTTGAGTTTGTATCCTGTCACTTTCTGAATCTGTTTCTTAGTTCTAAGAACATCTCATAGAGCTTTGGGGAAAGATTTTGTATGTAAAGGATAAGGATAGTTTGACCCCATCATTTCCTGCTTTATCCCTTTTATTTCTTTTTCTTCCCTGACTGCTAATAGTAAAGTTTTATGTACTGCACTGAGCAGGAATGGTGAGAGTGGACATCCTTGTCTTGTTTCTGATTTCAGGGAAAAAGCTTTCAGTTTTTTCTCATGTAGTACAAGTTTGTGGTTGGCTTGTCAGACCTTGCTTCTATCAGATTAAGTCTACCTTACTTCTATCAGATTTTTATTTTCATCAGGGTTTTATAAGGAATTGATTATTGGATTTTGTAAAAATCTTTTTCTACAAAAAGTCAAGTAAGATTATATGATATTATCCTTTGTTTATGGGATGTATTGTACTTATTGATTTATGTATGTTGATTTTCATTGCATCCTTGGAATGAAGCTAACTTGTTCACAAGGTATGATATTTACATGATTTGTTGCATTATGCTTGCAAGTATATTGCGGAGGATTTTTGCATCTATATTCATTAAAGAAATTGATTTATGGTTTTCTTTTTTGTTGCATCCTTATCTGATTTTGGTTTCAGACTAATGCCAGCTTCAAAGAATGTGTTTGGCAGTGTTGTTTTCCCATGCATTGCACGGGAGAGTTTTAGGAGTTGTGGAATTAATTCTTTTTTATTTTTATTTTTATTTTTATTTTTCAACAAATAATACACTGCATATATTCTTCTTAGTGGTTAATTGCTGTACAAGATGCGGACTTGTGATCCTATTTACAAACACCATTAGAACAAATCATTCTATTCATTAACAGAATGTAACTATATATCTATCCCAACCACTTTGAATACACAGATACAAAATGGACATTCATCTGTATACCCCATTTTTCTAAGTTCCGTTATTGAATATTATAGGTGTGTAAACTCAGCAAAATATTCTACAAGAGTCCAGTAGCCCATAATAGCATTGGGTCTTCTGTTTAACTGGCAATGTCAGAAATTATTGACCTGAGTCCCCCACAGCTCAACTTAACAGCATGGCTTTATTTCTTATAATTTCGTCTTCATAGTTTTCTGCTGGATGGTTAAGACCAAGGTAAAGCAGGACCTATGCAACAAGAGTTGTAGCTTTTTGGTCTGAGAAGGTCAGTGAAATGCCCTCAGGATTTGTCCTGAGATCCTGTACCTCAGATTGTAGAACCTTTATCAGTGCAGCCATGTGGATGAGTCACGGCCAATGCTTGGCCTGGAATTAACTCTTATATAAAATTCAGCAGTTTGCTGGGCATGGTGGTGCACACCTGTGACCCCAGAACCCAGGAGGCTGAGGACAGTGATCACTGAAAGTTTGGGACCATTCTGAGCTACAAAATTGACTCAAGGCCAGCCTGAACTGTATAGAGAGACCCTGTCTCAACAATAAATAAATAAATAAATAAATAAATAAATAAATAAGCAGTCAATCCATCAGGCCCTAGATTTTTCTTATTTGGTAGTACTATATCATTACCTCTATTTCATAGCCTGTTCTTGGTCTATTTGGGGATTTAATATTTTCTTGATTTGATTTTGGTAATTTTTGTGTGTCTAAGAGTTTATTTTGTAGCTTCTCCAGCTTATTAAAATACAAGTTTGAAATATTTTCTTAGAATCCTCTGGATTTCAACAATGTCTGATGTGATTTTACTTTTTTCATTTTTAATTGCACTGGCATGAGGCTTTTCTTTCCCTCTTTTGATAAGTCTGGTTAAGGGTTTACCACCTTGTTTATGCTTTCAAAGAACCAACTCTTTCATTTCTTGATCATTTGTATTTTTAAGATCTCAATTTAATTAACTTTTTTTTGTGTGTGTACTTTTTGTTTTGGTACTGGAGATATAACTCAAGGCCTTGAAGTTGCCAGGCAGGCACTTAGGCTGCTAAGCTATCTCCCCAGTCCCTAACTTCTGCTCTGAGTTTTATAACTTCTTTGTTTCTGCAGATTTGGAAATAAGATATCCAAGACCTGGAACCAGCCAAATAGCTCAGCAGATTAAAGCACCTGCAAGCAGGCACAGGGGCATTGGGTTCGATCCCCGTGGCCTGCCATGCCGGGCCTGCTCCCAGGGTGTGCTGAGATGGCAATTGAGACTGGGTGTGGTGGCGCACACCTATAATCCCAGCTCTTGGGAGACTGTAAACAGGCAGGTCACTGAGTCTGATCTAGTAGTAAGACCCTGAACACCCTGTAAACCCTTCCCTAAAATACAAAAAAAAAAAAAAAAAAACTATCCAAGACCTTAAGATACACCATTACATTATTTATTTAGGATTGTTCAATTGTCCAATATAGGTATTCACAGCTATAAACTTTCTTCATAGGAATGCTTCCATTGCGTCTCATAAGTTTTGATAGGTTACATTGCCATTGTCTTTGATTCTAGCAAGTTTTAAAATTTTTCCATGACCCATTGATTGGTCAAGAGTCTGTTATTTAATTTCTGTATGTTTGTGTAATGAGGTTTTTTTTTACTATAAAATCTGGTTTCTTTGTGCTATGATTCAATGGTATATAAGAAATTACTTAAATTCTTCTGTATGTATTGAAGTATCACTCATGACCTAACCCATGGTCTACTTTGGAGACATTTCTATGCACTGTGCTCTTAAGAAAACTATGTGTTCATTGTTGAATGAAACACTGTACAGAGATCTGTTGAGTTCATTTCCTTGATGGTTTGGTTCAGCTCTGATATTTGTTGAGTTGTTTCTGGTTGACCTGTTTACTTGTAAAAGTAGGGTAATGGCAGCCTCCATTATGAGTGCATGCGTTTATCTGTCTTTTCATGTAGAATAGTTTTTGTTTTACGAAATCGGTGCTCTGATATTTGGTGCATATATATTTATAATTGTTATCTTTCCTTGTTAAATGTTCACTTTACCAGTTTGTAGTGACCTTCTTCATCTCTTCTGATTAATTCTGACTTAAAGCTCATTTTGTCTTAGCTTAGAATAGCTACTTTGGCACATTTTCAGGCCCTGATTGCATGGGGTATCATTTTCCATTATTTTATTTTTTAATCTATGTGTTTCTTTGTGGATGGGATCTTGCAGCAGGCATATGCTTGGGCTTTCTTTTATGATCCAATTTCCCAGTTTGTATCTTTTGATTGAGAAATTAAGACCACTTACATTGTATTATTGAAAGTGTTTACTGAATCCA